CCCGAATCAGCCGCTAATATGTAGCTACGGAGGGTATAATTTTGTCGAATACCGCTTCACGGTATATGTCAAGTGCTTCGAAATTTGAATCACCGATGTAAACCTCACAGTGGCGCCTGGTAACTAAACTTTCTTCCGTCCTCAGACCATCCTCCGAATAGGCCGCAAACGTCCTCCGCCGATATTGATGTAGGCCCATAACATGGGATATTTCAAAGAAATTTAACTTCACCGGCGGCCGTACACTTTTCGCATGAGAAGTACTCCGAATATTGGGTATTGCCCACCCGAAAACACTGCACAGCCACGGTGCGTTTCGATGTAATTTTCATCTCATTGAGGTTGCGTGTCGCAATCCAATCACACAACGTGTAATCCAAACTTGGCCCTCCAATTAGTCATCTACCGTTGTGACAAAAAGTGTTGCCCATCGTGACCCGGTAGCCAAAGGGGTAGTATTGTTGGCTGCTATTCCAATGGTCGTGGGTTCAAATCCTGCTGTCTCCACCTGATGAGATGAAAATTACATCGAAACGCGTCATGGCTGTGCAGTGTTTTCGGGTGGGCAATACCCAATTTCCATCTACTTTGAATACGGTCCCAGCGATCGCAGTGACTAAGGTTCATTTCAATGTGAATCACAGTCCATTAAATTGAGGTTGCGTGTCGCAATCCAATCACACAACGTGTAATCCAAACTTGACCCTCCGATTACTCCGAATATTGCTTAATCCTCTTTGGATAGGATCTTGCTGGTGCATCAACAACAACGCACTTCAAATCCAATTGGACGTGTGGGTAGTCAGCACGAGTGAACGCACCGTTCTGAACATCCTGTATGGTTGGCTGTAGGAACTCGTGAATATCTATCGGGTTGCTGAGCCCACAACGATTTCCGACTGCGGTTGCGTCACCCTACAAAGTATAGGCCATATCTGGATCTGAGAACTGCAGAATTTAACATACCATCGATATGTAATTGTGGCGGTAGTTTTTGCAGTGTCGGAACACTAGTTTGCTGGAAGATGCGTCGCAATCCTGCTTCTAGTCCAAGGTGCACATACTGTCCATCCCGGATGAAACGTTTGGGACAGAGACGATGTGTATACGGTATAATGGCGGCAACTCCGGATGTAAAATCCAACAATGCCACAATAACTTATTAATCGTTAATGAGATGTTCGCCTCCAGACAGCCATCGCGGAGAAGTTGATCAAAAGTTATATCATCCGAAGGCCGTAAAGTATGCCTGCACACTTTTTTGGGTGATCTTAACACAACATATACTCTGGGTCCTCCTTACTTCACAGACCATCATCCAGTTATTGGTGCTTACGGCAGAAGCTTCCATGAAAGCACTAACATCCGTATGTTTCTCATCACGCAGCTCATCTTGTGTGATAGTGAGGTTGAATGGTACCGCATGTTAAAAATATGGTGCTTACCTTCTGTTTCACGCGAAGGTGATGCGTGCTCAAAAGCTCTTCATCACTACTGCCTCTCGTGCGCTGGACACTGGCTTTAGAGCAATCGTCACGGGACTTGAACCGTTTGTCTTCAGTTGACCAGCGCTGTGGTAACCGTAGCGTGCAATGCTCCTAGCAGGAGCATGTAAGCCCCTGTGGGACGAGATCGAAAGGGTTACATGTTTATCGACTCGAGTTTTAGGATGTCTCTGCGTCTGTCATAAGGTACGGATGGGGCTGAAAAGCAACGCAGCTGCTTCTTAGTTGGTTGGATGGCATAATGGCGCGCACTTTGTAAGAGACCGAGCTAGATAGAAGAGCTGGCGCAGTAGTGTTTTGGGCGAGCATAGGGAGCGAATAAAGCAACCAAGATAGCTATCTAATAAAGAAACGACAATTTCTTACTTATCACAGTGATACGGGTATGGTATAGCTGGCTAACCGAACAACCTCATGGTGCCTGATGGGTGGTTCGAGTTTACCTCTTTCCAACAAGTAGTTCGGCGGCAGTATTCAAGGACGTGGTGGGTTTCTGCCCGACAAGCGTTTTTCCTATAAAGGCCACATTGTCTGCTTATCAGCACTGCGATGTGGCGGATGTGACTCGCCACAAATTAAAACCACTGCCCCGTGGATTTCTAGATGCTATTCAGCCCATCGACATCAATAGTTTATTCTCACATACCTGACGACAACAAACAGTCAAAAGTCTGCAGCACATTCAAAAACACAAGCTACGCAGCTACATAATGCATACATACATACGTATTTACACCCACAAACCTTCACCGTTATACCAGACATGTATTTTTGTACATTTCTGATCATACTATGTTAGATTAACATGATCATGCCTGTAAAGGTGTGCCTCGCATTGTCGAGAATAAAACTATTTATATATAACAGAGTGGTCCAGTGGAGAAGGTATGGATGATTATGCATTGAAACACTTTCATGCAGCGCATATTTAAGGTATTTGAAGATTGATATGTAGAAACTGTTCGTCCACTGATCTATAACCACAAATTTACATGGCTGGCTAGCCGAACAATCACTCCTTGTTGCCAGTTGGGTAATAAATAATGGTAATGTGTCGGCTGTACGCCATGACGGCACTTCACTGCCGCGCGACCACCACCAGTTGCGCGTGGACTGAGTATACCGCGAGGACGCCCACCCCTACGCGGATTCGAACCGGTGAACTTATGGTTGCAAACCAAACGCGCACACCACTTGGCCACCGGCCGACCAGTTTGTTGGTTCGGATTTAGCTTGTTCCAACAAATAGTTCAGCGGCGGTTTTCCATTACATAGTGGGTTTTCACTTGGCAAGCGTTTTCCCTATAAAAAGACACTAAGGTCGGTTTAACAACACTGACGTGGCGGTTGCGACTCGCCACTAACTAATGTCACTACACCTTGCCTCATAATGGTGAAGCATTTTATACCAGCAAGGCAATGTTCATTCGTACAATCATTGCAAATCCACGGACGTCAAATCCCTTTAGCATTTGCGACAAGTTCAGACACAAGCAAAAGTAGTAAAACCTTTACAAAACCAAGCAACGAAGCTACCCACACATAAATACACTCAGATAACAACATATGTGACACTCCTATGACCATCCTACCGTACATTCCTTGATCACCTGTTGCGTTCTTACCGTAATCAAGCATTTGCAGGTGTACCTCGTTTAACCTAGAATACAATTTTATTTATTTATTTAACTACAAATGTCCATTTCCCGACCGACGGAATTTGGTCCCAAATCGGGCGGTGGGTGGTGCCTTTACATACGAGCACGTGATGTAAACCATAGCTTATGATTTAAGATAGTACAATGGATTCTAACCCCGACATTTTTGCCCTCATTGGTGTGGATATGCGCACCATATCGAGCGATTCTCCACTTATCAACCCCGACTAAATTCATTATATTACATTTGACCACGTGGAGCAACGCTCCGTTTTATAGACGAAACAACGTTGTTAGCTAGACCATTATAGAACGGATGCTGATACAGTGAAATGGTGACTACGTAAATCAGAAGCTAGGATGTGTGAGTCGTTAACACAAGCAAAAGCCCAAGTGACATCTTCCCAACACAGACCTTTTTACAGGGCACGGTCAGTAAATTTAGCATTATTTTATCCACTCAGGAACATTTTTGGCCACCTTTTTATGGAATTCCTATCTACAAGCACACTGTGCTTTTGCAGACATGACCCGCGTTGTTCTATTTGTACCCTTTTCTGAGGATTCTACACAAAATATTCAGTGATTGTGTATTGTTATCCTTTTTCACCAATTGAATGAGAATATATGCACGCAAAATTCACATTTTAATTCGGATGTTTCCTACTACGAGCGGAGATTAGCTTGGTTGGAGTGCCTTTCTATTTCCTTTCCGAACTTTCTATAATTAGCGTCGGGGTCACTGTCTATTACAATATACAGTTAACTATCTATGGAGGAACTGGTAAAAGGGAATACCCAATCAGTCATGTCTACCTCAATATAAAATATCCTGATGCGCCTTAGCGTCGGACAACCGTAGACCGCGAGGTAAGCCGGATTGTACGTGCACGTAGATTCCGATCGTGAATTGAGCATGCAGCGATGCGCACAATCACAACAACTCAGTGGCAACCAAGGGAGAACCACGGAAAGCGAGCTCGAAATCAATGGCATTTTATGTCTACTTACTTAAATCAAAGTTGTACAACTGCAGCGATGTAGCTAAGCGTGAGAATGAAAAATAAGCAGATTATTTACAATCGCTACAGTACTCCCCCTAGAGCGTGCACTAAGGAAACGCTCGACAAGTAACCTACGGAACGTAGTGTGCAAGCTTATGTGGAAGGGAACAACCCGAGCAGAACGTGTGTATGTGGAGGTGCGTGTAGTCCGAGGGCACAGAGGACTCAGTATACTGGCGTCAGTGTGTTGTTGGGTAAGGGGTATTGAGTCTGGGGCGGGAGTATTCTGAGGGGAGATAACAGGTTCTGTACTAGCGACCGTAAGTTCAAAGTAAGCTGGTTTGAGTCGGTCGATGTTCACTGATCCTTTTGACCCATTCTTATTCAACGGGAAATGCTTGGGCTTCCATGCTCAGATCTGGCGCAAGCCTTCATAGAGTGGAGTTAAAGGCCTTCGGACGGCGTCAGCGAGGATGAAAACAAACGGACACTTGTGCAAATCTGGGTGCATTTGTTGTTTGCATATGTTAGGCCGGGTAGACGTTGGTCGAATCGATCGAAAATGCTGTTTGAGGCATTCAGCGTACGATTTGAGTTCTAGTTATCCGGTGGGGTGAGAGTCCAGTACCATCTCACCAGGTAGTCTGAGGATCGCGCCGAACACGGGTTCTGCAGGGCAGCACCCAATGTCTTATTTGATTGCATTGCAAATGCTACGGAGGATTGCGGATAGACGCTCAGACTAGCGTGCATCGGATGAACAAGCCATGATGGCAGCTTTTAATTGTCCATGAAAGCGCTCAACGGCGCAATTGGCAGAGGAGTGATACGCGGCGGTTCTTATGTGGGTACAGCCTAATAAAGGACTCAGATCACGGAACATTGTGGAAATGAACTGAATCCCTTTGTCGGTATTGGTGGTGGACGGAACACTAAACAGGAATCCAAGCTTCGACAAAAGCACGGGAAACAGATTCGGTAGATGTATCACGTAAAGGAACAACTCGTGGCCAACGGGTAAAACGGTCAACACATGTTAGAAGATGAGCGAAACGGTTGGAAGAACGTAAAGGGCCAACAATATTTACGTGAAAGTGTCTAAAACGTGCGTCAGGGAGTGAAAAGTTCCCTGAAGTAGTGACTGTCTGACGATGAAGTTTCCTGGTCTGGCAAGTAAGACAATGTTTAGCCCAATGTCTAATGCCCGAAAGCGAATTTTGCCATAGGAAGCGGTCGGTAATTAGCTTTACGGTGGAGCGAATACTCGGGTGTGAAAGGCCGTGAGAGTGATCAAAACACATAGCGTTACATTTACATACTTCCACAACATGGCTACTTCCAAATACACACTTAAAACTACTTCTACATGTCAACACATACATATAAATCCTTACGCTATTAGTTAAAATGTAATAATTTGTGAAGCTGCCGATCACACATATCTGTATTACCCTGATCATGCCCTTGTTTGGCGGAGCCTGGGATACTAGTCGGTAAGCAATGACACGTAAGACGTGTATAGAAGTCGGAGGCGTCAGAACCCAACGTGTATTGCGCAGGCTACAAGAATAGGAAGATAATCAGACAGAGCGAGAAACGTGCAGCGTGGTACTCACCAAAACGGTTTGTGTCAACGGATGTGCAGTCAGTAAAACAAGTGGACGTTTCGAAAATTAAAACAACCATAACATCCAACGATGCAAAATAATGAAAGAGCTTGCTTTCCGGTACACTACAAGGGCCTCCTGTAAAAGGCTGAAGGATGGAAGCCTTCCATGGAGCTGTTAGTGGGGGAAAAGGAAGGTGAGGGTGGATGCGAATGTTTGCATGGGCTTGAGTAAGGGCTTCCAAGGTAGGGTGTGTAGCAGAGTTTGCTGGGTCCATGACTTGGTTAGTTATTATTTATGACGATCGTGTGGACCAGAGTGCATCGTCGGTGGGACGTCGCGGCGGACTGGGCGGAATGCAAAAAACTGGCTAGTCCATAATATAGACTGCCAGGACCTTCCCATGGCTGCGGACCCGACGGTGCGCTTGGGAGTTGTCACTCCCCAATCGCAAGTTCGTCCACGGTCCTCGTCCCACGAAGAAACCCATGCGCCTTCGTCCTACGAAGAAATCCAGGCTTCCTCGTCCCACGAAGAAATGAAGGCGTCCTCGTCGGTAATTTCTGGGCGGCGTTTGCGGACCACTCCGTTCGTGGGTGTCTGTGGTCGACGGCCATTTTCTGCTCCTTGTTTGAGTAAGAGGGCCTTGGGTCGGCTGCACAGTCACTCCGGAGTTGCGTTGAGCCCGTTGGCGAGACAATCGAGGGTTGCCTGGGCAGTTCCGGTGGTTGAGTTTCTGGAAGGCAGAACTCATAGGGGTTGTGCAAGCGTCGGGGAAGTGGCTTGTCGCCAGGGAGGGAAGATGGCATGCATTATAAAAACAAATACGCTTCTTTGGTTTTCAATATGTTTTGGGTATTTTTGTCGATTTTGCAAAACGTTTGTGAACAAGACGCACGCTAACCAGTAAAGAGGAAAATAGCGTGTTAATGGAAATGACAAACGTTTTCAAACTCTGCAAAACGGACCGGACATTTAACCTGTCTACCGCGTCGGTCGGTTGCCTGGGGTTTAGGCGGGGTAGGTGGAGGGTCAAATGGTATGGAGGTGTACGGGCTATCCGATGTTCGCGAAGTCACCTCAGGTGCGGGTGCTGGTGCGAGAGCATCAGGATGGCTTGTAAATGGCTCGTCAAAGAAAGCCACTTTGAGACGGTCGATGGACAACGTTGTTCGGTGACGATTCTGGCCTAAAGTAAAATGTTTCGGAGTCTATTGCAGAGCTGAAGGGGCCAGTGTAAGGAGGCTGGAGAGGTCGCCGCACTGTGTCGGTGCGGAGAAAGACGGGAGTGCACGTAGAGAGTCCGCTGTGCAGGTGCAGCTTTATAGTCTTTTCACGGGGCAGAGTAAGGCGTAGTGAACGCATGAGTTGAGCTAAGGAGGAGGCAAAGTTAGGCGGAGGCAAACCCGACAATGCTGGAGGTGAAAAGAATTTTCCTTTAACTTGAGGGTTTTGCCGTAAAACAAATCTTCTGGTGCACTTTGCAAGTAATCTTTGATGCTGCTGCGAATACCTGAGAGTACATGAGAAATATTTTGGCTCCAGCCAGGGTTGAAGGAGGTGCAGAGAGAGGCATTAAGCTGTCCATGGAGGCGCACAACTAAACCTTTGGCTGCTGGGTGATATGCTGTGGTGTGAATGCAGCGACAGCCTAAGAAGTTGCAGAACGTATCGAATTGTGAAGATTCGAAAGGCGTTCCTCGGTCAGTTGTGATGGTGGATGGTTATCAGTATTGCGAAACCCACCGGTCCCAGAAGGCCCGGATAACAGCCTAAGATGTGCCGTCTGTTACGGGAATGGCTTCTGGTCATCTGGTAAATCGGCCGACACATGTAAGAATGTATACGAATCCGCGTGAAGGTGGCAAGGGACCTATTAGGTCTAAGTGTACATGCGAGAACCGAGAGTCCGGGCAGGAACTGAACCAAGAGGACCGCCGGTGTAACGATGCACTTTACAGCGCTGACAATAAAGGCAGCCGCGAGCCCAGCCACGAACATCCTAGTTTACGCGTGGCTAAATGAAACGTTCGTCGATCAGTTTCGAAGATGCACTGATTCCGGGATTTGGTAGTGAGTGCTATGCGTCAAAGACCGTGCGTCTGAAGGAGACGGTCACGAGGGATCTACGACAACTTTCGGAAGTGTCACAGAGAATTGTTCCTTCCGTTCTTTGGAGAGGAACAGGTTGCACATGCAGCGAAGTATACTGCAGAGTGCGCTGGATATCTTCATCTTGAGCCTGAGCCGATGCCATGGCAGCAAGGTCGACTGTATTCAAATACTGGAGAGTGAGGTTGACGCGTGAGAGTGCGGCGTCGACGGGATTATCGACACCTGAGGCATGGTGTATGTCAGCAGTAAACTGTGTGACAAAGTCTAGGCGTCTTGTTTCCCGTGGTGAGTATTTGTCGAAAGCAGTGTTGTAGGCGAAGCTAAGGGGCTTGTGGTCAGTAAAGACCGTGAAAGCGCGGCCTTTATTGTGTGCCGGAAGTGACGAATCGCTAGGTAAATGGCCAGCAGTTCTCTGCCAAACGTGCTGTAGCGGATTCCGGTGGTTGCAGGCGCTTGGAGAAGAACCCAAGGGGTTGCCAGTGCCCACCAACGTGTTGTTGGAGGACGGCTCCTACCGCGACGTCTGAGGCATCAGCCGTAGTAGAAAGAAGCGCAGTCGATTCGAAAGGAGCGAGGAGAGCACTGTTGGTGGTTGCTTCCTTGATCTCGGTGAAGGTTGCCTGTACCGTGTCAGGGAAGCGAACTTACGTTCATTTCCTTTGCGTAAGTCTGTCAGTGGCTGCATTAGCTGAGCGCAGGGCGGACTGAATCGTCGATAGCAGTTTATCAAACTACAAAATCGACGGAGGTGCTTGAATGAAGTCGGAGCTAGGATGTCCTTGATGGCCTAGGTTTTGTCAGGAAGGACTTCCATACCAGACGACGAAAAGAAGTTGCCTAGGAATTTCTACCGTTGCTTTGTCGCTTTCGCACTTAGTCGGGTTGACGGTGACACCGTGTTGTGTCAAGCAATGGAAGAGAGATCGAAGGTGGTCTTTGTGCTCTTGTTCCGCTGAACTAGCTACTAAAATATCCTCGAGGTAGTTATAGGCGAATTCTACGCCAGGAGTGACAGCGTGGATGAAGCGTTGGAGGTTTGTACGGCTTTGCACAGTCCAAATGGCATCCTTAAAAGTTTAAACAAACCGAAAGGAGGGATGACGGCTGTTTAAGGAATGCCCTCGTCTTCCACAGGTATCTGGTGATAGGCGCGAACCAGATCGACCTTGATGAAGATCACCTTACCTGTGAGGCATGCGGTAAGGTCCTGTATGTATGGGGTGTAATACCTATCTGGGACGGTTAGGCGATTGAGTGCGCGGTACTCGCTGCAAGGGCGCCAGTCACCAGGTTTGTTGGGAACTATCCGCACGGGCGAGGATCAAGTGCTGTGGGAAGGGCGGATTGTTCCAAGATAAAGCGTTTGCTCAAACGCCGCCCTAGCTACCTTTAATATCTCGGCCGATAGTCGGCGTGGGCGGCACGACACAAGTGGGCCATTCGTTTGTACATGGTGCGTGACTTGAGCTGCCACGGGCAACGCTGTGTTTATTGGCTGATCGAGCTTGGGATACTGAGAAAAGAGATTAGCGTAGTCTGGCGAGGTCTGGGGAAAGGCATAGACCGGGGATACTGATGTGACCTCAGCGGTGGTGGCATGAAAACCAAGTGTTCTTGCAGCATCGACTATCGTCTGGCGTTTCGCACTGACCAAGGTGTCGACGTTCCTAAGAAAGTCAATGCCAATTAAGGCAAAGAGGACTGCAGCGACAGTGAATACCCAGCCGAGAGTGCGCCGAAGACCTAGGTCCAGGGTAAGCGACTGATGATGCTTGGTGGCTATTGGCGTGCCATTAGCGGCACTGAGGCTGGTCGACAGAGAAGCGAGAGGTTCACTGGTATAAGGGGAAGGACGCTGACTTCCGCCCCGGTATCAACTAAGAGGTGTATATCGGAGTCATAATCCCTAGTGTAGATGAGACGACTTTGGACTTTGCCGACTTTCGTGGCCAGTACAGCCCGGCGTGGCGGATCATCTATAGCGGAGTAGCTACACGGCTGTACGCACTTAAGAGCTTTAGTACCGAAACCCGAGGGGTAAAAGCAGTAACCTGTGGCATCCGGTTTGTGCAACAGGGCGATGATCCAGACCGGTTGCGGTTCTTACGGATTAAAATGAGTTCATCGGTCTGGCGCTGAAGCGACGCTATCTGCAATGATAATGCGTCTATTGCCGACGGCGAGCTAGTGGCGCCTGTCGGTGTGGTTGTGCCAGCACAAAGTTGCTTAGGTGCTTTGGTTTCAGTCTCTGGCTGGTGTCGTTCGATGACGCGGTCCGCTAGACCTGCAATTGCGGTGAGTGGCAAATCACCTGTTACCGCAAGGATAGTCTGAGTGCTTGCAGGAAGGCGTTGCATCCACAGCTCGCGGAGAATCCTTACGTCCATGTTGGACGCGCCGATCAGCTGTTGCATTTCGCGCAACGAGGCTGAGGGCATCCTATCTCCTAGCTGCAGATCACTAAATAGTTGCTGCAAACGGACCTTGTCAGAAGGCGTGATTCGCTGAACAATAGCCTGTCTAAGAGTCTCGTATATCATTACTAGTGGGGGCAAAATATGATGTCTCTTACCTGCGAGGATATACTCTAAGGAAGGCAAGATATTAGCTGATTATACATGGCGAAATCAGAAGAAATCCTACGAACATGAAATACGGATTCTAGGTGCAAAAACCATAACAAAGGATCACACTTCCAAAAAGGGGGAGGAGCTAAGACAGCAGAATTGACCATGACA